TCTTTTCTTTCCAATCTTCTGTTTCATTTTCCTTTCTTTTTTTCTTTCTTTCTTTCTTTCTTTCTTTCTTTCTTTCTTTCTTTCTTTCTTTCTTTGTTTTCTTTCTTTCTTTCTTTCATTCTTTCTTTCCAATCTTCTTTATCTTGTTTCTTTCCTCTTGACATGAAAAACTCATTCTTTCTTTTTTTTTTCTTTTCTTTTCTTTCTTTCTTTCGTTTCTCTCGTTTCATTTCTTTCTTTCTTTCTTTCTTTCTTTCTTTCTTTCTTTCTTTCTTTCTTTCTTTCAAATCTTCCGTTTCATTTCTTTTTCTTTCTTTCTTTCTAATCTTCTGTTTCATTTCTTTTTTTTTCTTTCTTTCTTTCTTTCTTTCTTTCTTTCTTTCTTTCTTTCTTTCTAATCTTCCGTTTCATTTCTTTTTCTTTCTTTCTTTCTTTCTTTCTTTCATTCTTTCTTTCTTTCTTTCTTTCTTTCTTTCTTTCTTTCTTTCTTTCTTTCCAATCTCCCGTTTCATTTCTTTTTCTTTCTTTCTTTCTGTTTCATTTCATTTTTTTTTACTTGTACAAAACTGATATAATCACAAGATTTTTCTATTGATCCGCTGTTATTGGCTCTCGATTGAATATAAAGTAAAGAATTTTAAACAAATTCTTTAACGCAAAACAGACGGCGAAGACGATCGTATGCGAAACATTATTCATGAAAAGTCATGCTACGCTTCAGAAAATGCTCATTATTTTAGCCAGAAACTCAGCTCAAAATGACTCAGGATTTGATTCTCATTCAATTTAGGTAGAATTTATTTGTCGAATGTTCCAAATTTTCGAAAATAGGCCAAAATCAACCACAAAAGAAACTCTGAAATTTGGTGAAATTCCTTCAAGTATTTTCGTCTTAGTGATATTTTTCTCAGTTGAGTCAATTCTCGACATCCATTTTTATCTACGGAATACAATTTCAAAAACGGTCTCTGTCTTGTTCTCAATTCCCTTACCTCAATGATTGCCGGTGGAGTATGGTAAGATTTTGGTGGGACGTACCTAGGTGTGATGAGACAATAATTCAACACCCAAATTCAACCACCATTGCAAGAAATTTGTTGTTAGCATTTCCATCTTGATATTTAGCTGAATGTGGCTTTAGTTCTGTAAATGATTTGTTACTGAAGAAAACAAATCGACTGGATGTCACGAGGAAACTTGAGGCTTAAGCTGACTAAATTGGTACCTAATATAAAATCTATCTGTAGCAGGCATGACGCACAAAGATCTCACTAACAGTCATTTTGTGATGAACTCATATTTCATTTTACATTATTATTTCACGATTAAAATGATTAAAGTATATTACGGAATAAGCTTTCATTAAAATATTTTATATTTCTACCTTTCAGTTCTCTATTATGTTTTAAAATATATATATATTTAACTATCATTTCTTTTTTTCTCTTTCTTGGACGCCATAGTCTTTGGAGGCTTGTTTAGAGACCAAGTTAATGGCCTTTTAAGCTTCCTTCACGTAAATTTCAGTAAAATTTTGAATATGTAAGAATTAAATATTACGGGGGTGGGCACCAGAATTTTAGAAATACCAAAGTGGGGTATGGACCAAAATTGGTTGGGAACTACTACTTTACAAACAAATGAACAAATTGGTCTTCCTGGTGTAGTGTTCCTAAGTTTAACTACTAACAACAGTTTGCTTCTAATATATTTTTAAGCTTGTCTCCAACAAATCTAAAAATTAAGTTGCAAAAATATTTACATTGTTCGGACTGTTGTCTTCATCTTTCTTTTCATATTCACGACGTTTTGTCTGTTGTACTCTCCAGCCTTCGTCAGGTGATTGGAATTTTCGAATTGAACCGTTTATTTCGTCCATCGAGGTAGATTTTTCTAGATGATATTCACGACGTTTCGGCTGTTGTACGCCCTAGCCTTCGTCAGGTGATTGGAATTTTCGAATTGAACCGTTTATTTCGTCCATCGAGCTAGATTGTTCTAGTCCCACGTGCCATGACTCTTCTGGGTCTCTCACTTATCTCCCCTTAACTCAACTCTCCAAGGTTTTGTTCACCACTGCAGGAGCCAGATATCGAACTCACAATTCTCTGGGTCAAGACAATGGATCCAACCAACACTTTTATACATTAAGCCATGTGTCCTTGAGGAAAATATCTGAGACATCCACAGGCGGCATGGCAGGTGGAACTAGAACAATCTAGCACGGTGGACGAAATAAAGGTTTCAGTTCGAAATTCCTGTCACCTGAAGGAGGCCAGAGCGTACAATGGCCGAAATGTCGAGAATATGGCAACGAAGATGAGAACAAAAGTTCAAGCAATGCAAATAATTACAATACCTCATCTTAGAAATATAGATAGATATTAAGTTACAAATATAAATTCTTGGGAATGATAGCGGAGTGGTTTTTCGGGGCCTTCTCAAAGGTTCGGAATTAATCGTCCTTGTCTTTGATTGTTTTGCCAGTTGATGCTAGAGAATATATTTTACTTTGCTGTTTAACCTATAGTTGGGAGTAAATGAAAGATAGGTTTATGCCTTCCCAGTAGTATGAGTGCAAAAGTAGACAATACCGGCTAGCACGATAATTTGAAATCATCTCGTCGATTCCACTGTTCAAAACAGATAGTGAAGATTATACTATGCGGTGCATTATTCATGAAAAGTCAGGCTACGCTTCAGAAATTGGTCATTATTTTTGCTATAAATATATTTCAAAATGATGCAGGTTTTGATTCTCATTCAATTCAGGTAGAATTTATTTGTCCGATATTCCAATCTTTCGAAAATGAGTAAAAATCAGCCACTAGAAAAAAAACAAAAACCCCTGAAGTTTGCTGAAAGTCCACCAAGTATTCTCGTCTTTACTCCCTGTAAATCGATACACTTTTAGATACCGTTTAATATATTACAATTGTAATTAAAGCAATCAAGAAAGGAAAAACAGATGAATAGTCGTGAATCTGACATTTCATTTACTGTCGCCAAAACAAGTGAAATGGCGATTGGTGAGGCAGATTCAAACTGTCGCGGTATCAACTCCTTTCCCCAACTTGGACGAGATGTGACACAAGTTCTTTTTTAGGCGGGGACTCGAGTGCGTACGCCCGGGACAAGAACAAAAGTTGCCCTCAGCCCCAGCAATCGTCGTTTGCGCTGGCCTCGGTACGAGCACCGATCCCTCTCTCTGGTGCAATTGGATGGCGCAGCCTCGGGTAGCTGTTCCCCAGGGCTGGGGCACCTCTCAGTATAATTTTCTCAGTTGCCCTTCTGCCCTTTGACAGGGAAGCCCCTGAGCGCAATCTGCTGAAAGACAGAGACGCAACTGAGAGATGTCAAGCCATGCGTTAGAAATCCCTCCGAAGAGGAATTTACGCAGGTTCAATCAGTCGCCGCGGCAATCTGTGTAGCCATATCGCACTATTAGCCTCGGGCAAGGCACCGATCTATCTTTTCTTCTTTTTATTCTGGTCGAGAGAAAAGAAAAAAAAAGACAATTCTGAATTGTGAGACACATTCAGGCGGTTCGATTTCAACATCGATTTTGTTCAACCCCCACCCCATTGTCAGTACTTATTGATTCGCATAATATCGATTCCCAAAGTGTACGGCAGATGGGATCTTGTTGAAGCTTCGACGGGTCGGAAAAAACGAAAGTAGATTAAACAAATTGCTCAAGTAAAACTACGAAAAAAAGATATCCTTCCCCCAAGAAACTTCGTACTCGAAGGGGATCAAAAGAAAAACAGGACCACATCAAAAGACTTTCAGAAGGAAGAAATATTTTTGTCTATAAAAAGCATCGAATATGCTGTCAAGATATGAAATATAGGTCACAAGTAAGTAGTTTATAATTCAGGAACATGCCGGCTTGAGTGATCATGACAGCTACTTTTCCTAAGCAATATCGGTTTATCTTGCATCTTATATAGAAAAGCGAAATTAGTTGTATCATATTTTCTGTCTAACACTGTCAGTTTCGATTGAGCTAGGAACTATTATTAAAAAGGGGCGGGAGAAATAAAACCAAAAGAACATGAATTCCAAATAACTTTGAAAAGAAATGTGATTGGTCAGATTAATAGCCAATCAGATCAATTTCCTCTTTCTAATGAAATCTAACTGCGGGAAGAAAAATGCTTTTTTTATATAAGTATTTTTATTCACTTTGATGTACAACACATTTAATGTAGATGCCTTTTATTTTGTTTCATTCATTTTATTTGATTTGTGCTTGCATTGTATACACATATATATTTATATGTATATATATATATATATATATATATATATATATATATATATATATATATATATATATTGTAGGTAAGTATATATGAGAGTGTAGATATTTACTTAAAGGTCTACTTATTTGCACATATGCATTTGTGTACACATACAGCCATTAAATATATCTCTCGGTAAAAATATATATATATATATATATATATATATATATATATATATGCAGTTATCTACATATATACTTATATTTTATTTGATTGCATGCATTTTGATTATAACTTATCAAAAGGCTAAATAAATGCTCTTTTTCTCTTTCCTTTTAGGTAAGTTTCAGCTTCAGAATAATGGATTTATACAACTTCAGATGATAAATATTACATTTGGCTGACGAAAGTCCTACACTTCGAGATTCTTGCAGTGTTTCCTATATACGTCAGGAATAATAAGTATATTTTTGTTTATGTAAAATCCTTAACGGGTTTCGATTTGTGGATAAAGTTAATCGTGTGAATATCAGAATTTCGAATCATAACAAAAAGAGAGAGGAAGAGAGAGAGAGGAAGAGGGAGAAAGAGAAAGAGGGAAAGAGAGAGGAAGAGGGAGAAAGAGAAAGAGGGTGAGAGAGAGAGAGGGGGGAAGAGACAGAAAGAAAGAGAGTTCACTGAGATTAAAATCATCTCTTGGTCGTTTTTCTCTTTCTTTCTACATCTGAAATCACTTCCTATCAATCGGCCATGTTTTATTTTTCTCTCTTCCATTATCTATCTATCTATCTATCTATCTATCTATCTATCTATCTATCTATCTATCTATCTATTTGTATATACATATCTATTCATATATACATATGAATTTCGGGGTGATAGCTGTATGCTAAAACTTATCTATATGGATACATACATATATATATATATATATATATATATATATATATATATATATATATATATATATATATATATATTAGTTATACATATGTATTTTCCCAGTTTATTTACTGTTATTTAAGACTGTTCATATTCATCTATCTATCTATCTATCTATCTATCTATCTATCTATCTATCTATCTATCTTGTCACTCCTGGAAAAAGCAGCCTTTATCTCTTTGTGAATGTTATTTCGAACGGCATTTCGATGAGCTGCAAATGTTCAGGCTCTGTAAAATCTGCCAAGCATTATTTTAGTCCATTTCCCGATGCGAGACGAACATTGTGTGATTTTCTCTATGGCAGCCATTTTGGTGTTCCTCCTTACATACAAAGTATAAGAAGCCATTAGCAACCACTATTTTTTTTCTTATCAAACCCTGTCAGCCTTCGATCACATATTATTTGCACTCGAATTTATAGAAATAAAAAAAAAGAAAAAGAATAGAAACAACAGAAAAGAAAAAGCGATGTGTAAAATAAATATAGGATGTAAGTAAGAAAGTAGGTAAAAGAAATAAAATGAATGAATGTAGAGATGCCGAAACGAAAGAATGTGTTACTCAGGAGGAATCGTATTTCGCCTTTGGGGTCAAATGCCTTTTCGATAAAGGCCCAGTGCTTTACTTTAGACACGTGCGCAGGCACACACGTGATATGAACGTGCGCTCAAGTTTGTTGACAGTGAGATATTCACATGCTTATCTATCTATCTATCTATCTATCTATCTATCTATCTATCTATCTGTATATCTATCTGTTCATATCTATCTTTCTATTCATATCTATCTATCTATCTATCTATCTATCTATCTATCTATCTATCTATCTATTTATCTGTTCATATCTATCTATCTATCTATCTATCTATCTATCTATCTATCTCAGTTTGTTCATATCTATCTATCTATCTATCTATCTATCTATCTATCTATCTATCTATGTCAGTCTGTTTATATCTATCTATCTATCTATCTATTTGTATATACATATCTATCAAAGTCTGTTTACATCTATCTATCTATCTATCTATCTATCTATCTATGTCAGTCTGTTTATATCTATCTATCTATCTATTTGTATATACATATCTATCAAAGTCTGTTTACATCTATCTATCTATCTATCTATCTATCTATCTATCTATGTCAGTCTGTTTATATCTATCTATCTATCTATCTATCTATTTGTATATACATATCTATCAAAGTCTGTTTACATCTATCTATCTATCTATCTATCTATCTATCTATGTCAGTCTGTTTATATCTATCTATCTATCTATCTATCTATTTGTATATACATATCTATCAAAGTCTGTTTATATCTATCTATCTATCTATCTATCTATCTATCTATCTATCTATCTATCTATGTCAGTCTGTTTATATCTATCTATCTATCTATCTATCTATCTATCTATGTCAGTCTGTTTATATCTATCTATCTATCTATCTATTTGTATATACATATCTATCAAAGTCTGTTTACATCTATCTATCTATCTATCTATCTATCTATCTATCTATCTATCTATGTCAGTCTGTTTATATCTATCTATCTATCTATTTGTATATACATATCTATCAAAGTCTGTTTACATCTATCTATCTATCTATCTATCTGTGTGTTTGTATAAAAACAGAGACAATAACTATTTAACCTTTGTCTTTCTTTAAAATAGATTTCCCCTCTTTTATACCCTTATCTGTTAGCCCCACTGGGTGCAGTAAGGTCTTTGCATGAAGGTCTTTGCAGGAAGGGGTTTGAATACATAGCAGAAAACAGTTATAAATAACCTCCATTTTCCTGGGAATTAAAAATCGTTCTTCCTCTCTTCCGATTTTTTTTTCTACTTAATGTGTGAAGTTTTCAAACTCGACATCTTGTCGACCTTCCTTTAAATCTTCCTTTTAGCTTAATACTTACGGAATATCAGTGAATGTTTCCCTGCAAGACAAGACAAGAAACACCTTCAATGTCATTAATCCAAATAGTTTTGTACTTTTTACTCTCTTGCTTTAACTCAAGACAAACAAATATTGCTACGGAATTAGAGAAATAACTTTCGCTACTGCCGGGTCTTACGGCCGCATCACGTTGAAACGTTGGTTCCCGGACAATCATCGCAGTTAAGCAACGGCGAGCATGGCCAGTATCTAGATGGGTGACCGCTGTAAGCTTTGATGTGCGGGTGGTGTAATGGATAATGGCTCGGAATTGTTAATCGGAGAACCGAGTTCCAATTCCGGTCGAGTTCTTTATATTCAGTTACGTGCAAAACCTTGGGAAAGGTATGAATCCGCCTCTTCTCCCCCAGCTATGGGTTAATTAGTAAGACGTGTATCACTAACAACGTTACTGTCTTCAAAGAAAAAATAGAATTGCGTACAAAATATTTAGATTTCAGTATTAAATAACCCATAGAGATGTTGATATGCCGCTAAACAAAAACAAGCAACCAATTACTGTCGATCAGCTAATAAATCTATTAAATTAGTTTCATAAAAATTCATCAAAGCAGGACTTTTTAATGAATCCGTACTTCTATTTTCATAAACACCTGCAGATGTGTGTGTGTTTCTTTTTTTTTTAATCACAGGAGCGTAATCACATTCTACAGTTAATGTCTTCAGTAAAGGCTATTTCGAAGAGAAGCGAATAAAACTCAAGTAACGTATAGTTTTTGAAACAAAAGTATTTTAAAATTATTTTTATTTACAGCAATAATTTAATCATTTACATGTCATTTTTGAAAGTGTGTTAAGCGCGCGTTAAAGGCGTTAGTCTAGTCCGGGTATCATTTATCGGGTTATAAGAAGCAGGGTGAATTTTAGGGGAGACTTATATGGCAGGAAATATGGTTTTAAATACCTTGAAAGTCAATTTATGCATGAACGATAACACTGGTCAACAAAAAAGAAAAAAAGAAAAATTTGAAATGGTGACACCTAAACATCTTTTTTTTTTTTAGCTAATTTGATGGGGTGCTGAATCTGAAAATGACCTTTCTTTTTTCTTGGTTAGCTACCGTTTCTGCTGAACAGAAAAGCCTCGTTTTTTTGGGGAAAAAAAGCATGTTACTCTAAAGAAGCGTACAAAAATTGTAACGCTGCACACACACACACAAACACACACATAAACACACACACAAACACACACAAACACACTGGCAAAGCCTTACCAGTGAGCAAATCCAAATACTATAGACTGGCCTGGAAAATCTCCTGATTTAAATCCAATCGAGAATCTGCGGTCAATCTTCAAGGAACGACTTCAGGGAATGGACATACGAAGCACTGACATGTGCACTGGGTCATGTTTCAGTGGAAAAATACGAATAAAAGTAAATAATAATGGAGTTATTCGTCTTGTTTCAATTAATTTGCACAAGGGTGTAGATGATCATGGCCCTCCACATCTTCCTGTATAATTAATTTGCACAAGGTGTATGTATGCTGAATGTTTAAGATAAACATAAATTTACTTTGATACGTTTTACTGGTTCAACGTAGTATTGTGATCCAACTTTAATCACAGACACACACACACATATATTAAATACGTGCGTCAAAGACTTCGATACAATAAAATGTTACAGTGTTCAATATGAAATGTAAAAATACGATTGTAAATCATAAAATCTTGTGGGTGACGAATTATTTTCCAACTTCCAACTTCTCCCCCCACAGGTGGAATGTGGCGAACCTCGCACTGCTCTGTTGCTACTTCCATGGAAAGTGCTCGGACGAACGGCATACCTTAGTTCTGCCTGATCTAATCTTCATGGCTAGAACCCGCCAAGCCACTTACATAGTATTAAACCACCCACATTTCCTCCGTATTCCATTGGTGACAAGTAATTTCCACTCGAACAGATTCTTCCTACGAAACACTGCTCTGTGGAAAAGACTCCCAAGAGGGTGTTTCCCCGATCACTACAATCTTAACCTGTTCATGGCTACGCTTAACTGTTATCTTCCCCACATATCTACATAAGATGTTCCTCTTACACTCTAACTCTCCACCTCAAGTGGCTCTTGGGCAGAAGAACACCATGTCGGACTTGGGGAAGACCTGCATCCTCTTAACTGCCTCTGCCACGCATGGCCCACGGGCCTTATACAGGTTGAATCTTACTGCAAAAAAAAAAAAAAAAAAAAAAAAACAACAAACCCCTACACACCCCAAATTATCCCGCTACTGAAAGTTTCACTTGCCCCCCTCACAGATTCTTCTTGAAGATAGTATCCCATACATAAGACTGCCGATTACGGGATTAATTTGCTGTGTGTAGGTTTTTATATATACAGTGCGGCCATAGGAATCAACACTGTATAGTCATGGCCATACAATTAGATTTTCTTTTACAGGGTAGATTTGTTTGTCTCGCGCGTAACCGGTCTTGAATTCATTATTGTCCTTGTCCTAGACTGACTGCCAGCCAAGGCTAGAGAACACAGTCTAACTTCGCATTATCTTTTCTCCCACATAACCGTAGAAAAAGGAATGTAACGTTCTTGGCTGATATTCCATTTTCCGTGCCAATATCTTACGCTTACCTTCACAGCAAAATATTAATGACAATACTTATCTCCCAAGCGGTTGACATCGCTCATGTTCGTTGCCATTCTCGACATTGTCCCAATAGAAACTGCCCATCGTGGTTCTGCACTGAAAATGGCAACGAAAGATACGAAGAACTGACAATGTTCTTGCAATATTAAATGCGAAAAAGTGGGGGGGACTGGAAAGCGGGGGTAGCGGAAGAGGAGGAGAATCTTTGAAAGAAAGAAGAATGAAAGGGAGCAGGAATGAAGGGGAGGTACAATTAGATGTTAGCGCGCATTCCGATCAGATCGAATTCTTGGCTTCTTTGACGAAACGATTATTGTCGAAGACAAATACAAAAATCTCATTGTGGCGTCTTGGCTTCTTAGGCTTCCGAAAAAGAGACAAAGGATCTTTGCAGTTTTAATTGTCTGCAAATCGTGGAAAACGAGCAGAAACCATTGTTGAGTGCCTGAAATGCAGAATTACATCTGCATAGGAAGCCATTTTAGGAGAGACGCGCTATGAAACGCGATTCGAGCACTTGCATTGCGACTGTGTTTCTTACTTTGCATTTATTGTGTCAAAGAAATCATTCGAAAATTTTCGCACTTAAATGTATGGCTAGCTTATTGTTTACCTTTGAAATCTATCTTAGGCTGTCCATATCTATCTATCTATCTATCTATCTATCTGCCGGTTCATATCTATCTATATGGCTGTCTGTCCATATCTATCTATCTATCTATCTATCTATCTATGTATTTGCTGAAGTCAGTTTCATTATTTTATCATTGTTCGTCCCGATGCCAGCGATCAGTTTTCAATCCCAATGATCTTGATCTTGACCTCCGTCCACGTGTTTTCCCAACCCTCATGAAGTTGCGAAATCAAAAATATTTTCTCACTTCACCTTTTCAATGTGTCGGCTTCCGATTTTCTATTTTTTTTTTTCTATTTTTGGTCATTCACGAATAATTTAAGTCAATCTGCTTCGACTGATACATCTTCAGGTCGGCCATCTCCTGGGAGCTTTCTTCTCTTCTCTCCATTCTATCGATGTAACCACAAATTTTCCTTCAGAATAAACCAACCAGTGAGTAAAATTCTCTAATTTCGTTTTTCAAGTCGGGTAATGGCATACGTATTAGCCTACGTAACCCTTACTACAAGAATAGTGAGTTCGATCCTCACTGGGTGCCTGATACAGTTGTATCAGATCTAGGATATTTTTTAGTAAATAACTATTTGATCATCACTAGGTACCTTATCCTTATGGATTTGTTGAGACGAAGCTTAGTAAATAAGAAAACCTGCTGGAAATCAGTTCATTCACTCCCATTGCTTTTAATGTGACTTCGCTGTGTTGTTTCAACGATAATTTATGGCGGGTCACCAATTATCGATGCAACTTACTAGCGTGGGAGTTTTTCAGTTTCTCGCAGAGATACAGCCACACCGAACTTAGCAACGAGTGTTTAATGTCAATAGAAATGGATTGTTTTTAGATTTATAGGTATCGTATGTGAGTTTTAATAGATTTACCTTTTGTGATTGATTCCTTTTCTTTCTGTCTTTCTAAGACGACATTGCATCTCTTAAAAGTTTACATAAAACTTCAACTAGCGGTAACCTTTTTCCTGCCTTTTTTTTTCTTTAATGTATTCAATCATGCCAGGGTTACCAGGCTGATCTAAAAGGTAGAGAATCGGTCAACATTTGAAAGTCCAACGTTACTAATGTTTGACTGTCACTGGCCGACGTAGCAGATTTTGTTTGAAAAATTACTTTAGAAAGTCGTAAGTAGTGAAATGGAAGATTTATTAGTGGCTGGCTTTCAAAAATAGCACAGTCTTTCAACCCTGGATGGTAGGGTACCAACGATACTAAGAAAGTGCGCTTGTAAGTAATACCATCAGCTGGTTTTGAACTCAGCTCTACAATCTGTTTTCCGTGCTCGCTAGCAAGTGTACATATTTGAATTATCCTACAAGTATAAATTCTATTCTAGTAGAATTTCAATTCAAGGGAAATGGAGAAACTGTGGAGAATTGTATTCCAAATAAATAAGACTTTATTGATTCCAAAATCCGTCTTCAAATTCTTAGCTTTTGTCTGAATTCTAACCCGAGGGAGATACTAGTTGGGCCCCTGTTATAGAGCCATACTTATAAAGTTGGTCTCGCAAGCTATTGCTAATGGGTTTAATCTTCATTGGATGATCTCATAATCTCGTGATAGACTTGAATAATCTATGTTGGTTCCATTCTATGGGAATCTGCTATTAACACCCCTTCCACACTCTCGAATCTTATGAACAAATCCTGCAGATGCATGCTCGGATTTCTTGGTTAGAACCAATAGAAATGAATCACTGCTTGGTGCCTTGCTCCATTTTTTTTTCTTTCTAGTCTTGAAGTCAAAATGCTACAATCACTTGACTGTATCCCTTTTGCGCATAACGACAGTTCTTAGTTTGTGAATATTTTTTTTGCCTAGTTTTGACTTGCACATAGATTGTTTGCTTAGTTTTGACTTGCATGTATATTTTTTGCTTAGTATTATTTTGTCGTTTTGTTGTTTTTCTTCTTTTTATTATTGTTTAATTGAAAATTCCGTTTGTAGAGCATTATTGCCAATTATACTGAAGGATCGCCAATTACCGCATAAGCTATATATTCTATTAGGCATACGTAGGCATGTTCAATTCTTTGCTAAAAAAAAAGAGCATACCCTAATGAAAAAAGGTCTTAAACTTGATTAAAGAATTTTTTATCGTCTAAATATTTATGCTGTTATCAAGAGGAAAGACCAAAGTGATTTTTTGAATATTTTTAAATTTTTTAAACCGAAATTTTAGTTAAAATGTTGATTTTTTTCGTTTTGAGTCAGCAAAATTTGCATAAAATCAATCATGGCTGCCATTTTTGACAGCATTGTTGTTTTCTCGGCGGGTTATTGAATATACCTAAGCATACATAAGTAGGTTACAATATGTTAACATCAAAAGTTTCAATACAAGACAAGATTAAGATTACTAAATATTGTATCTTTATGATCGACACTAGTAAGGTGCTGACTGTAGGAAGACTTTTATGAAGCTAGTTTAAAAAAGCCTTAATTTCATTGGAGGTACCATTCTTCTAGTCGTGTTCTGTATCAAGAATTATTTATTAAATGCCTATTTAGTAGATATGAACTGAATTAATCAGTGGCATTAACTAAGTTTGCAATCTGATCATTTTCTTTGTTCATGTATTGTTGACACAGTTACTGTTTCAAATGAAAATAAATCTTTTTTCCTAATAGTTTTGTTTGGTTCGGGTTGTTTTACTGCATATCAACATCAATGGGTCATTTAATGCCGACAAAGTTTTTTTTCCTGTTAATATTTTTGCTTTGTCAAAAATCTATTTCTGGCAATATTTTTTTCCTCAAAAATGTATAGCTGGTAATATAATTTCAAAAAATGTATTGCTGGTAATATTTTTTTTTCAAGAACGTATTACTGGTAATAGTTTTTCTTCTTCAAAAATTTATTTCTGGTAATAATTTTTTTTACAAAGCATTAAAACCTAGTTTTACACTTTCATAATGCTTTTTCCCTCAGTTTCGAGGTTAACTATTTGCCCATAGCTAGGACCCTAACAAGTGCTACCACCCCGGATCAATGTGGACCTGAGAACACCGGCAATTAAGAGGTGGTTCCAAGCTCCTCAAAGCCTCCTGATCAGAGGCCTTGCTGCTGGACGTAGTTTAACGTCTTACCCAGGATGCGGATGTAGTTTATCGTCATACACAGGACGGCCAGCACATAGAATGTGTGTAAGTGGTAGCGCTGTTTGGACAGCTCCTTTGCTGAGTTAAGTGATGCCTCTCTAAGCTATGGGTAGGAGCAGAATTATCCGGTCGAAACATCGAAGATTCGGAGAGGATGTCAAATCAAATCATGATAATAACCTAGTATGGCTCTCGTGGCTTTTAATTCAATTTGGCGTTGCTGATATGTAAATGTTTTGGTGAATTAGAATGGCCTACAGTAACTCTCCCGTACAGTACTACAGATTTGCTCGTTAGTTGTTTGACTGTAACCACTTGGGCTTGACTCCTTAGGGGATGACGTACTGTGTTTTAACAAGGTGAAGGAGCATCGCAGATGTAGTTTATCGTCATACCCAGGACGGCTCTTTCCTTATGGATTATGCATAGAAAGAAGGCTGAAGAATGAATCGGTAGTTTTACGGCATATCAACACCTCAATGGGTTATTTAATGCTGGCAAAAACCTTTGTTGCTGGTAATATATTTTTTTCCTAAATGTATTGCTGGGATTAAAATCTATTTTTATACGTTCATAGTCTTTTGACCCCAGTTTGGTGTTTAACTATTTGCCCATAGCTGGGAACCAAACAGGTATTACCACCCCGGGTCAGGGTGGACCTGGGAACACCAGCAAATAGAGGTGGTTCCACTCTCCTCAAAACCTCCTGATCAGAGACCTTGCTGCCGGATGTAGTTTATCGTCATACCTAGGACACTTATGTATTTTTTCAATACGTGTTTACGATTACTATCGTAAAAGCATTAGCAATGCATATATATATATATATATATATATATATATATATATATATATATATATATATATATATATATATGCATTGCTATGTATATATATTGTAAAAATGTAGCTTTAAAAGTATGCTCATTTCTATACTGGGTGTAACAGCAAAATTGTCTAAATCGTGTAACAACATGGGAGAATTGTCCATCGCACAAAATGTTTAATGTCTAAAAACCACTAAACTAATTGACTTGCTTTTTTCCAGGTTTTCAGATAAGACGTTTAGCCATCTTGACATCATTTGTTGTAAGAATCACTAAAAAACCCTTTGAGTTATTCAGTTAGAAAGAGAAAAGTTTAAAATCGTTTTGTGTCAGCCCCACTATGTCTTCTCGACTGAGCAATGGTGAGAGGGAAAAGATCATTCAGGCCTTCAGTAATAGTACCAATATTCATACTTTGGCTTCTATCTTCAAATCCATTCAAGAACACTCAAGAAAACGGTGAATAAGTTTAAAAAAGAAGGAACAGTACAGAGAAAAAGTGGATCAGGAGGTCATAACAGCAAGAGGGATAATCATTTCAATTTAGAGCTAAATACATTCTTATTGTTCAAAGTAGAGTCCAATAGTGTTATAAAAACCTCGGGGAATTCCAGTAAGATATCTTTAATCATTTCTAAGATACAACGGTTCAAAGCTTAATCTAAAAAAATTGCACAATTTTGCTGTTACTCCATCTAGACAATTTTGCTGTTACACCTATATATATATATATATATATATATATATATATATATATATATATATATATATATATATGTAAACAATTTTATATTTATTTAGCGTTGTAATCACGACAGGCTAAGGTTTAGTGTTTCTAGGGTTTCCATATGCATGTCTTAATAGACGGGATTAGACACTGAAACAAATAAATGCATCTTGATTATGCCATTATTTTTTCTTCCAGTTACAGGTGACAGCCATTTTAGTTGTCACTGCTGTTCGAGTTTGCGCAGTTCGATAAAAGGTAACAGCCATGATGCGGTTAGTGAGGATTTAAGTATCTTTAATGTTCATTTCTGATTTCAAATAGCGGGAAAAAAATAAAAATAAACAAATTTCTAAAGAAAATAGTTCGGTTGGAAATTAAAAACAAGGTTAAAAAATATCAATTTATAGAAATTCACATTTGTATTGCAAATTTCAAA